GCGGGACGCTGTCTCTTCAAAACGAAGACCGAACACCACAGAATGGTTGGGAATAGTGAGAAAGAGAAAACAAAAAATAGGCAGAGGCAGCAGCAGAAGATGAAGAGGGAGGAGGCTGAGGAGGAGAAAAAGCAGTAGAAGGGGGATGAGGCGGAGGAGGAAGGGGAGGAAGAATATTAGGAGCAGTCGCACAGCCGTCATCTGCTCGCCGCTGCTTGCCGCAGGGCAAGGGCTGCAGTACAGTCTGTGGCTGCCTAGGGGGCGAGGGGGAGAGTGGGGCCGGGGGGGGGAGGGCCCCTGTCCCCTGGTATGCCCCCGCGCCCCCTCCAGCCTCTCCCTCCTGCTCTCTCCTCCTCCTCCGTCCCCTCCTCCTGCGCCTCCTCTCCTCCTCCTCCTACTCCCCCTCCTCCCTCCCTCTCCTCCTCCTCCTCCTCCTCCTCCTCCTGATCCTCCTCCTCGTCCTCCTCGTCCTCCTCCAGCTTCTAATCCTCCTCCTCCTCCTCCTCCTGATCCTCCTCCTCCTCGTCCTCCTCGTCCTCCTCCAGCTTCTAATCCTCCTCCTCCTCCTCATCCTCCTCCTCATCCCCCTCTTCTTCTTTTTATCACTATTATTAGTATTGTTCGTATTATTATTACTATTATTATTATTAGTAGTATTATTATTACTACTATTATTACTATTATTAGTATTATTAGTATTATTATTATTATTAGTATTAAAATTATTAGTATTAGTATGATTATTATTAGTAGTATTGTTAATTGTCTCATTCGTATTATTATATGTCGTGATATTATTCTTATTACGTAATCTTATTAGTAGTACTCATGTTCGTCTTATTATTAGTATTCATATCCTTCGTCTTCTGGTTATCATTAGTATGCTTATCAGTATTCTTATTAGTAATATTAATATTCTGTTTCTTATTAGTATTCGCCTTCTAATTAGTATTCTTATTATTCTTATTATGATCATTAGTCTTCGTATTTTTCTTATTGTTATTAGTATTATTCGTATTCGTCTTATTGTTATTATTCGTAGTATTATTAGTATGCTTAGTATTCGTCTTATTCGTCATATTGTTCGTCGTATTGTTCGTAGTATTCGTATTATTATTCGTGGGTATTAGTATTCGCATTCTTAGTAATATCATTATGCTGATTATTCGTCTTCTTATTCTTAGTAGCATTAGTTTTCTTATTATTGTTATTACTCGTACTGTTAGTATGCTTCTTCTCATTATTACTATTAGTATTCGTAATATTAGTATTATTAGTCTTAGTATTAGTATTAGTATGCTTATTATTATTATTCGTATTGTTATTGTTCTTCTTATTACTATTCTTATTATTATTCCTCCTCCTCCTCCTCTTCCTCCTCCTCCTCCTCCTCCTCCTCCTCCTCCTCCTCCCCCATCCCGTCTGGCAAGCACTCCAACACAACAGCTGGCCCACCAACCGGCCAACCAGCTACTTAGCCAGCCAGCCGAGGGTCAGCGGCAAGGGCCGAAGCCGAAAGAACATACATCATGGGGCCCCGCAGCGCCTGAGCGCGCCGCTTGCAACGAGGCGGCCCCAGGGTGCTGTCGTGCCCATAGAATACGCGCGCTAGGCGTGGGGAGGTCTTACTGTCCCTGATAACCGTCTGACTTCGCATTCACGGTGGGAAAGAGAAGGGAATGAGGGAGGCCAGGGGGAAATGGGCAGGGGCAGGGGCAGGGGCAGGGGGAGGAAAGGGAAAGGGGGGGAAGAGGAAGGGAGAAGCGGGGAGCGGGTGCATCTCCTACGTGCGAGAGCGGTTTAGGCCCCTGCAAAGGATCCCAATTCCGCGTTCAAGAGACGAGAGACGCGCTCGGCCTTGACAAGGTGTGCGTTCAAGAGATGAGAGACGCACTCGGCATTGAAAAGGTGGGCACTGGCTTCGCCGATGCTGAGGAAAGCTGGATGGAAGAAGTCAGAGGTCGCGACGCGGTAGATGCAAAAGAGGAGGTGGCGATGGCCAGGTCTTAACAATGCGACCTCAAATCATGGACTAAACAAACCAAGACCAGGCTGCAGCAAAGGAAAGCGATGAAGCCGTAACGACATTAGCACGAGATGTGTCGATCCGTGGGCGAATACCTCATCATCGAAGCGATTGCTGTTCTCATGGAAGCGAGCACGTTCTGCTGGATAGCGGTTAGTCGGCGATGTGCTTTAATACTGCGCACGTGTTGATGGATCGATGTGCAATGTACCCACTACGTACCGAAAGAAAAAGACGTCGCGCATGCAATCGTGACCCATGGAGGTATGGGACGTTGGGGTGCTTGGGTCGTTGCTGGGCTCCTCCTCCCAAATACCCCCGGGGCGCCCGCGCCCAGAAGGGATCTGCGGGGAGCCGGAGGAGCCCCGCGCCGACCCGAGAGATCCGCGCAGGAACTTCGAAACTCCCTCTGCCCACGTGTGCCGCTCTGCTGCCTCCCAGGGGCGAGGAGCGGGGCACGGCAGGGTCGTGCCGTGGCGACCTGCGCGCTGGTGCCTGACACCGCGTGGATCGTCGAACCTGGAGCGATCGGCATCTGCTCGATCGCCGGATCGTTCCACATTGGCCGATTCTGAAAAAAAAATAAAAAACATAAAAACAAGAGAAGAAAAAAAAAAAAAAAAGAAAAAAAAAAAAAAAAAAAAAAAGAAAAGAAAGATCTCTAAAAAAATAAAACAAAAAGAAAAAAAACTGAAGAAAATACATTCTGAGCTTAATCCGTCGGCGGCGTTCAACCTGTCTTCCGTTTCTGGGTCCGACCCAACCCCGACCGGCACGACAACGACCTGCCGTGCATGCGGCACCGTTTCTTCCACCACCCTCTGGCATGCACACCAGTGCATTCCCGCTGCCTGCCCGTTGCCCAGCTCCGGGTGCTGCTAGAGGAGAAGGGAGGAGGGAGGAGGAGAGGAGTGAAGGAGGGAGGAGGGGGGGGAGGAGGGATGGAGGAGAGGAAGGGATGGGGGGGGGGGGGGGGGGGGGTGGGGACGGGGGAGAGGGAGGTAGGGAGGAGGTAGGAGGAGGGAGGAGAAGGGAGGGAGGGGAGGAGAAGAAGGGAAGGAGGGAACAGCGGGAGGGAGGGAAAGCGTCCCTGGCCCAAAGTTGGGCCAGGAGCTCCCGAGGAGCCCGGCGGCCTCCTTGGAGCACCCCTCATGAGGGCCCAATGGCCCCAGGGCTTCCTCCTCCTCCTCCTCCTCCCTCCTCCTCATCCTCCTCCCCTCCTCCTCCTCCTCCTCCTTCTCCTCCCCCTCCTCCTTCTCCTCCCCCCTCCTCCTCCTCCTCCTCCTCCTCCCTCCTCCTCCGCCTCCTCCTCCTCCTCCTCCGCCTCCTCCTCCTCTCCTCCTCCTCCTCCTCCTCCTCCTCTCTCCCACCTTCCTCCTCCTCCTCCTCCTCGTCCTCCTCCTCCCCCTCCTCCCCCCCTCCCCTTCCTCCCCCTCCTCACCCTCCTCACCCTCCTCCCCCTGGGCTCCAAAATATAGCGAAAAGCTGGGGACAAGGTCTTACGCGAGATGGCACAGCGACCTCACGCGGTGGCTTACGCGGGCCGCCAGCGAGGGGCGCTAGGCTGGAAACGAGGGCACGTTGGCGCGACCTTACGCGGGAAGCTTACGCGCGAATGTGCACACAGACGACCCCGTTTCCTGCGTCTCCCACCTTGGGCCAGGGACACCTTTCGAGTAGGGGATCGGCTACAGAATTGGATTACCCCAGACTTGATGCTCCCCATCGAATCTGTAACGAACACGTAAAAGTGTCGTACATCTACGGGGGGGTCCACGCATTTTCCCGTAGATTCGACGAGAAAAATATGTTGGGAGCGCAGCGCGGGCGCGGCCGCAAGAAACCCTCGCAAGAAACCCAACCCTCAAACCCGCAGGCGCGAGATGCGAGTGGCGGGGGGCCCAGAGCACCCTGAACGTAGCAGCTCCTTCCACGGCCACGGGAGGCCAGCGCGCAGCTCGCGGACGGAAGAAGCCCAGGGCACCCTGACGAAGAGCAGTCCGTTTCTTGATGCGCGTCCCCACTGCAGATCAATGTTTGGCGACCTACCAAAGCACCCCAACCCAACCCGAAGGCCCGAATTTGTCCCGAATTTCGGGTGGGGGGGGGAACGGGTCCCATGTGTTTTCTCCATGTTCCCAGACCCCCCCCCCACTGGAAATGGAAGGCAAACTGAAGCCTTAAGGGTTGGGTTGGGGTGGCTTGGTCGGTGGTGAGTTATGCAGCCGATCCCCTGCCCAAGCCTGTCCTGGCAGCCCCCCGACACGTCCGGCCACGGCGCTCAGCCGGCCTCGGGCACGCCGCGCGAGGAGCGGCCCCCTGGCGCCCCGCGCGGCGAGGCTGCCGCGGCGACCCTGGGCCCCCCTGCCCGCGGCGGCGCGTCGAGCACGTCCAGCGACACGCTGACCTCCTTCGTCGGAGAAGGAAGAGGCACCCACACGCGATCGCGTCGTTAAAGAAAATATGGGCGGCAAGCTTTTTGTCAATTTCGGTTTCGGGGAGCCCTCGCCGGGCCTCGGGACCGTCAAAAAATGATTCAGGATGAAAAGCCGGTCCCGAGGAAAGGGTCGGGACTTCCAGGGACCCCGTATTGGAAAAATCAGGACGTCGCATGTCTGGGTACCCATGCCGCTACACTTCGCCCGTGTTCCACTTCCGGGGCCTCCTGGCGCGCGCAAAGGGAGACGGCCGAAAGGCCGTTCCTATACGGGGTCCGCAGGTAGAGGCGAAGAGGAGGACTCCTTTTCGAGGGCACTGCGCAGGGAGCAGTGCACCGCGGGAATTATGCCAACACCTGAGCCGATACAGTTGCGGCACGAGAAGATATAATAGGGAAGTGAGCGGACTTCACACGCACACACACACACACACACACACACAAACACACACACACACACATACACACACGCACACCGCCCCGAAACCTGCCAGTTCCCGATGGCCTCGGGCCCACGGGAGACGACGGCAGGAGTCGGGATCAGAAGTGCGAGGTCCACTCACCACCCCGTTCCATCCACCGCCCCTCCAAACGAGGGCGCATTGGCTAGGAAAGGTGAGGGAGAGGACCAACCCCGCCACACGGGGCACTTAGGAGTGTCTACCCGACTTAGCGGGCCCAGGGTGCGCCCCCCAAAACGCTACGGCACTCCTGGACGACACTCCGCCACCGCAGGTGACAGGGATGGGAGAGCAAGGCAAAGAGAGCAGCAAGGTGACACCAGCATCCTTCGATGCAGGTGTTGCCACCGACGCGCTAAAAGGCGCAAAGTGAAGTGGATCGGACTTGTGAAAACAACTCGATCAACGCAAAATGGCTCATTCATGGGGCACTCCAGGCCCCAAATATTGTCAGGGCACTCCAGGCCCACGTGCAAAAGTACTAGGATAGATGTGATGGCAACTCATCTCTGACAATATATCACGCATGATGCGAGGCACCCCAGGCCACAAAATAACGCATGCAACGTAAAAGTGCATATACGAGCGATGTCGACATCAAAAAATGATCATGGGCAGAATGCAACGCATCGGTCGCACACGGACGCCGTCCCATGATAAAACGTAGACGCTGACCTTGGATAACATTACCGGCGGGCGATCTGTCTGGGTGCGCGCATGCCCGTTTGCCGAAGTTTATAGCGTGAGCCAGAACAAATACCGCAAGACCGTGTAAAGTCACGTATCTCAAATCAAATAGCACGTTTGTCCATGTGTTTCAAAATACATACGCATGATGAACACAATGATGTCAACTCGTGTCATAATGAATGCTATAAGAATATGCAGCATACCACTCCGTAAAACGATGTCAATTAACATCTACGTCTAAAACGGTTCGTGCTAGCGCTCGTCCCAAACACGATATCCATAGTTGTTGAACCACCTGATGGTGATGGTCCTGAAGTTGTCACATGACCATATACTCGCAATCGCCACCGTGGACATAAGCCCATTGGGACAGGAAGTGCGACCAGCATCGATACGCATCGCGCTGGTTACGCTGGAGGTCACGACGCCAGCAGGTGTAGATGTTGCGGCGCTCGCGCGCGGCACTCCTGCTGCGGCCGCGCCCTTCGACGCTGTCGGGCGCCCATCTCGGTGGCGCGAGGGGGCGGCGCGAGCTCGACGAGGAGCCAGCGCCACCTGTCCAGCCAGCGGCGCCAGCCCAGCCAGCGCCGCCAGGCGCATAGGCGGCGGCGGGGCCATCGCGGCGCGGAGGCGGAGGAGCAGGGGCGACGCGAACGGGGTCGACTGTGGCAACTGAGAAGTCACCCTTGTTACCCTTCGCGGCACTTTTGGGGACCTGCTGGCGGAGCTCATTCAGCGTGACCCGATTCATCTGACCTTGTCCTCTCCCAGAGGGAGCTGAGAAAGTCACGAATCCGCGGCCGAGGCGTTCGCCGCGAGCGAGCGCTCTGGGAGCCTGTGCCCGCCGGCCCGCATAGCCAGACTGCACAATGACATGGTGTAGTCGAATGCCCTCATACATGTCCTCCAACGTGAACGAACGCTGTTGCTTCAGAATCCTGGCCTCGGTCATCCGATGGAGGAAGATCGAATATTCCTGATACCAGGTGGCGGACCGGGGTATGGATGATAGAGGACAGTGCCTTCCATGTCAGCGTCTTCTTCTCCACCGATGCGGCGCTGACTGGAGGTCGGCCCACCTGCCTCCAGCCATTTAGCATGTCGGACCTGGGCTGCATGAGCCTATCTGCGGAGAAAGTCCTTCTCAGTGGAGATGTCAGAACGCTGTCCCTGGATGCGAATCTGGACGTCCGCATGCATGAGCTGGCGGGCGATGTCCTCGCCCATTGATTCGCGGATCCAGTTGCGCACGTCTGCCAGGAATCGAATATGGAACGCGCCTGTTCCCCCACGTCTCCGTGACTCAGCGCGCACGCGGCACAAGTCATATTCGCATGTGTCGCTATTGGGGAGGTCGCGGCAACAGCTAGAACAATGGCGCTTTGCAGTCTGCAATTCAGCCGCACCGTATTCAATGAGCTCCTGAATGCGATCGCGGGCGCTGCCACCAGCGCTCAACTTCCGACCGAGATCAGGGACAGCATGATTAAGGACGAGGTGAGCGCGATCGGCGGCCAGATCATTAGCCAGAGAACTCAATCCCTTATCGGTCATCGGATCAGAGAGATCCCCAGCCGCGATCTGATCGCGAGCATGGTGTGCTGAAGCCGTGCCCTGATGCTCTTGCAGGAGTTTCTCCGCCCTGCGGCGAAGCTCCTGGCCCTGTGCATATTGGTTGCTGGCGTCGCCCATACCGTCGTCACAGTCGGTACGCAGCACAACAAGAGTTAGGCAGCTGCTTGGCCCATGGGTTGACAGGAAATAAATAGTGCACCAGCCCGCATTATGGTCGAAACGGAACCGTATCTCGAGATGACTGTCGTAGTGGTAGGCGTCCATGTATGTTGCCGTACACATCTGATCCACCTCGCACAGTGGGGTGATCAACATTGGGATACCCTGCGTACTCTTGCCAGTCGCACGGATGCTCATCATAGCATCATACGAGAGTCTGGCGAAGATGGACGGCAGGTCTTCGACGATTTGGATTGTCAGTCATCACAAACTTCGCCTCATCGATCTTGATGCCCCGACTGTCGTTATGATGGAGCGCGGGTGTGTCCACCGACGCGTCGATAACGATGACGCCCAAGGTGTACGTCACAATCGCATGCCTTGAAGTGGTCAAACAACCATTGAGACAATTCAGCGCGCAGTGGAACTGCGAATGGGAAACCGTTCTGATCGTCATTCATCTATGAGTACCAAATGTTCGCCCAGAACGGTCCATGACTATGGCAAGAGATCTGCACGCTGACGTATGGTCCACTGTGGGCAACGTCTATGATGGGTCCGAAGATCCTTCCCTTTTCCAGCGTGAGCGCGACTTCTTTCTTTGCTGGATACAGGCGATCAACGGCACGACAACGGGAAGAACCAAGCGGTCGTGCGTAGATGAACTCACCTGCGTGGATGTCTCCAAAGCAAGTACGATACCAGGTGCCCAGAGGAAGCGTCTTCACAAGTGGTTCATAATACTGGCTCTTTCTTGCAATCCTCCACGATCTTCCACTAATGGATGGTGTGCAGGAGGTCCAGGCCGGTCAGAGTCGATGCAGGTGTTGCCACCAGCTCCAATCCGATGAGGATTCGATCAAACTGGGAATCTCCTTGCCTCAGCCCCGGCTCCAGCCCTGGATGCTGGGGAATATCCGCTGCAGCAGAGGAAGAGGAGGAACGCATGCGATCTGCTTCGGTCACGTAGCCCCGAGGCATGGGCTTGGGGCGCGGCGCAGGGATGAGCGTCCGCAACTGTTCTGCTGCAAGTGTCACCACCGGCGCAATTTCGCAGACCTCGCACTGACTGCGTGACGCCGGGAGTTTGGCCAAAGCCAGATACTTCCACGTCGTGATCATGTCTGGGTAAAGGGGGGCCCCCTGACAATTCTGACGGCCAGGAGTGCCATCGGAGGAATAGTCTGGGAGCACGCGATGGCCCCTTGTTCACCAAGCCAGAATTCACAGCCCGCCACTGTGGCGGCATGCATGTCGATGACCACGTCGACCTGCTTCTTCGTGCTCGAACTTGCATCCAGGGATCGTAGCGCGGGGATTCTGTTCACTTCCAAGGACAAAAGAACTCGAACTGTACAATGCCTCACGCCGTGTCTGACGATCGGCACCGCAGCCTGGGATGATACCGATCTTGCGGGTGCTGTCCCAGGCGCCACGCGTAGAGGCGCGGTGCAGGAATTTCACATCCGTACACGACAAATATTTCCAGCCCATGTTCCACGGCCGGCTGTTGTTGTGCACAGCGGTGCGTCCGCCAATAACATGAATGGCCAGCACCTGATCCCACGCAAAGTCTGACCCGAAACGTCGGGGTCGGGGCGGCGGACAAATACCTTGAAGCGGGCCTTCTCGTCGTCGACGCGCAGCTGTAGGGCACGCAGACCAGCGATGCTGCAGCATCCACGTGCACGCCTCCACTGTTGGCCATGATCGCTTGCCTGAAGCATGCGGGCTTGGACTGTAGACCTATTGGGACCGTAGTCGTTTCGAGTGAACACTTCCGGAACGATGTGGCTGAAGGCTTTGGAACAATTGGCCACGGCCCATGTATCAACGTAGTCGCGTTGCCATATATTGATACGGCGGTCCAGAAATTGGTTCAAGCCGTTGCGTCCGCCGACATCATGGCGGAGGGCAGCCGAAAGAGCCTCACTGAAGTACCCTGGTGTCCCCATAGTACGACCAGGGTAAAGCGGACCAACAAGGAGAGGTGGCCCCAGCTATTTAGTCATCACGTTACAAAGAGTAATCCAAGCATAGTCTGGAAAGCAACCACTGTTGTGGAGGTCGGGAGCACGTTTGATCACA